CTGTGTTGCAGCTTAAAGACACGGTAAAAGTAGGTAACTGAACAAAAACATAATCACGCCTCTACTGGACGGAATTGCAACTACTCGAGCGTTACAAAAATACTCGAACAAGCACAAACAAAGTTCTTTTTTGAACTGAACTGTCATTCGCAGTATTTTCGTAACAACGTACTAAAAAGAATCACTTTACGTTGGCCTACTGAGAGACAAATAACGCCATTTTTATGATTGCGTTATTTGAACAAAAATTTCAAGCGAATTCAATAAGATTGTTCAAATTCGTCCGCCATATTGGATCCGCTATTTTGAATTTTAAAAATCTGACTTCAGATTCGTAACCGGCGACCCCGAAACCCCCGAGTAAAAAGTTTTAAGCAAATTAAATGAATTTTTTAAAATTCGTTTGCCATATTGGATCCGCTATTTTGAATTTTTAAAATCTGACTTCAGATTCGTAATCAGCGACCCCGAAAACCCCCTAGTAAAAAGTTTGAAGCAAATTCAATAAATCTTTTAAAATTCGTCCGCCATATTGGATCTTCCATATTTAATTTTGAAAATCTGACTTCAGATTCGTAATCAGCGACCCCGAAAACCCCCGAGTAAAAAGTTTTAAGCAAATTCAATAAATTTTTTAAAATTCGTCCGCCATATTGGATCCGCCATTTTGAATTTTTAAAATCTGACTTCAGATTCGTAATCAGCGACCCCAAAAACATTAAAATATATTTTGACCCAATATTTATGCATCGTTTTTTAAAAGTAATTAATAAATATATTTACTTATTTTCGAGTTTAGCCTCTGGTGTATTCCACGTCAGTTCAACACAAAAAATTTTATTAGGTTTTGGGATTCGGTTGAAAATGGGTAGATTATATCCTCTGGTGGTAATAAATAAAATCCCCTAGCGATTTAAAAAAATTTTAAAAATTGGCGGACATATTGGATTTTTAATTTTTTTGTATTTTTTTTTGGAAAATATATATCTCTGCTTGTTCTTAACGGATTTTCAATAGGGCTGAGAAAAATGAATATTAACCTTTATTATCTAGATATAAACAGTAAATATCTGTGATAGTAAAATATATAAACATTTTAGATGTTTAAATTTAATATCTGCAGATATTGGAAAAGACTTGATCAAACATAACCTCACATTTACAGATTATACTTTTTAACATCTGAGATATTAAACCATAACATCTAGATGATATGCATTAGCATCTTTTCTTAATATCTTAAGATTTTTAAGATCCACTTTTCTCCGTGTGTTTAGCACTGTTTAACTAAATATTCACAAAAATTTACTGCTGTAACATAAGGTTATCTTATTATTTCTTGAATTCTTGTTTACAACCGAAGTAATCAATTTACCGGGATCAATAATTTTTAAATAATTTGTGAAAATGTTTACTACTGAACATACCATACGCGCCTGGACGTGTTTAGACGCTTGGAATTGATGCGAATAACACTAGTCAACATGAAATTCGCGCCTGACATTTAAGAAATTTTTTATGATAGATTTATCGACAGATATAAGGAAAAAATTATATTTTATCAAAAAGTTTGCTTTTGTAGATAGAAAAACGTTTTTACCATATTTTTGAAAATTTATGATTTTCTAAATGAAATGGTCAATCAAAAATCTGTAAAGTACGTAATAAAACATACTTTACAGATTTTTAATTGACCATTTCATGAGTATTGCATGAGTATGGATGTGCAAAATAAATATATTTTTTAAATTTTATTAAAAAATGGTGGCTGTGCAGCATTTCATTGGAAAGCGTCTCGTTTTAGGATTCCATGGCACACACGTAGGATTTTTTATATTACTTAGGGGAGAGTTGTCAGAGTTGGGCAGGGTTTAGGGTTGGGCCACCGCGTTTATTTCATTTTATCACACTAGCGCCATCTATATTTGTACGTAAATTCTTGCTACTAAGTTTCAGCCATCACCAACGTACCACTTTGTGATATAGGCTCAGCAAAAACTTTTTTGTGGTGTCGAAAAAAGGAACTAAATGTAGAAGAAATGTGCCAAAGACAAAATAAGTTTACAGAAATTGTTCATTAAAATGATATGTGAAAATGTGTAAAGTAATTTGGTGTTTGTGTCACGCGTTTGTGTTCTGTGCGCCTATGACACAAAACGACGCGTGAGTCAGAGTTGGGCCATGAGGGAAATTTTGCAATTACAAAGCGTACTTGCAACAGAAATTCATTTTTTCACTTAAAGCGGTGTCAAAGTAGATTGGATTTTTGCATTGAGCTTTAATGGGAAAATCGTATCGACTTTGACACCGCCTTAAAGAGGTGTTAAAAACTTCATTTCCATTGGAAAGAGAGAGAAAAAAATTTTTTAATAACCTTTTTTCATTTTTGGATTTCGTTCATGAGGAATAAATTATCTAAAGTTATATGAAAATGCATAATATGGGATTTTATTTTAATTTCATGGTTCCTTTCCTCATTTTCAAGTGTCATTCTATCATTTGAAGGTCATTTTTAATCAATTACCTGAATATTTTATTGATTTTCTACAGTGGCCCAACTCTGGCAATATTTTTCTTTAAATTGCTTATAACTTTGAATCTTTTGGTCAATTTTTTTACAATGTTCAGCAAAAACATTGCATTTGAGTTGATCTTTCCAAAAATATGCGCGAAATCGCGAAATTCGTTTTACAGGGGAAGAAAAGTCAAAACTATGGCTAACTCTAACAACTCTCTCCTACTTTTAGTTTTATCAACAATTTTGTGAATTTTTTTTTTGAAAATTGTCACTTTTTTGTTCAATTACGCACCATTTCGCAAAAAATCAAAATATGGAAAAAATTCTACATGTGCCGATAGCTGTTGATGTATAGAAAATGACAAAATTTTGGTTTTTTCCAAATCAAAAATTCAGGACGTTAGTTGTCCGGCCATGGTACCCTCGATAATACCCTGAAAAACAGACGCCTTCCAATAAAATGGTGCCCAGCAGCCATTTTGTAATTAAATTTTTTTGAAAAAATATAGTTTGCATATCAATACTCATGGAATAAAACGTAATTTACAGATTTTTAATTGACCATTTCATTGATAAAAAAAAATTCCTAAAATACGCCTGATTTTCGTGATGTCCCCCCTTAACGTGTCTGCAACTACTATAAAAGCAAACTTTAAAAAGAATATGTACGTTTTTCCTTTATTTTAGTGAAATCATTATATAAATCCAGGCGCAAAAATTTTTCGTTTTTTTGTTAAGCTGTGTAATCTATTGCGTCATCGCGCGACGCGCAGAGACATTGCGCAGGCGTCTTTAGAAGCCTTAGCAATTCAAAAATGGTTAGGAGAACCAAAGTGTTGAAATCCAAACAAATATTGTCACCTCAACTAAAGCTGTGGTTGTTACAACAATATCAAACGTACCAATATTATATGGTTGCCACAATCGTTCTGTTTTGTAAATGCTTCCGTACTAAAAGCTGCTCTAGCCATATATGTATGGATTCCTCAGCAATATTGTGACCAGCAATATTTTTATGGTTGTGACAACAATATCTTTTCTTTCCGTGTAAAGTAGCTTCGTTATTAACTGTTCTGTAAGTCAAATGTACTCATTAAAAATTTATTTGAAATAAATACAAACTAATAAATATAAGTGAGCACAAAGTCTCTGTGACTGATTACAATAGTCTACATTAAAAGGAAATCTTGGATTCTAATCACATTAGCAACAGACTAAGGGAATCAGTGATACAGACAGTCATATAGCCTTTACAACATTTTTACTATTGTAAAATAAGGTGACCGGCTGGTGTTTGCCTTCTTATTTTACTATAGTCCTTCGTAAAAACTAATATTGCTACATTTCTGATTACAAATGACTGTTGTAAAGTAAAAAAAGATATTTTTTAACTAAAATGAAACTCTTTTTAATTAGTGACTTTTAATCATATATTTCACATTAATTTCACTTTTCCGAGACTCTTAACTTCAAGATTAATTATATTCTTAAACTAGACAATTTTTTAAACCCTCAGTACATAAATCTAACTTAAATATTAAAACGCATAACCTAATAACGATCGCTATTTACACATATTTATACATGACTTAAACCTTCTTATATATTATAATATTAACTGCTATAAAAATCCATCGCTTTCGAGAAAGACTATTACATTTTAAGGCTGCGTCTACAACAGAAAAAATAATGTGTTGAACTATGTGTAATGTGTAGTATAGTGTGTAGTGTTTTTGGTATTGCCAACTGTCAGGGGAAATAAAAATGATCTTTATCAGTAGCGTAAACGTAGGGTGCAATTTTGGGCATAACTGAAAATTTAAAGATTTAAAGCGACATTTTTATCAAATTTGCGAATTTGCATATGATTTTAAAAAGATGAAAACGATTGTTGCTATATTATAAAGTGTTAAAAAAAATGTGCTCTGAAGAAAATTAAGTAGGTTTAAATCTTAATACATCGTCATTAGATTTTCAGGAGAATATGACTTGTATTGATTTCAAGTTAGTGAGGTTAGATACGTTTGTTTACAAAGTCCCAGGACACATTGAAATATAATTCAAACATTTGATTATTAATTTAAAAAGGTAAGCTATTAATTTAAACAATTTGAAGTTTCTTTATTAATTTTCTTGCTTTTGCTATGTTTTTTTTGCTTATAGCTCTTATTAGTTAAATAATTAATAATAAGAAAGAATAAGTTTACATATTGCAGCACTAGCAAACCATTACTTGACTAAATAAGGTAAATCTGCAAAGTGAGTCTTAAATATTATTTATTTCCATTATAATTTTTCTCTTTAACTATTTTTTTTAATAGCTCATTTTTATTATCCGTAGATGACGTCAATTACTATCTACGATGGTTCGAAAAATGCCAAAAATTAAAAAAAATGGAAAATCATCACAATTAAGGGAAGTAATTAAGCACAAAAACTTTAATAGAAAATGAATTACATTATTAAAATAGTAATTTTTTTTTTTCATTTTTTTTTATTTATTATTAAATTTTTAATTTCAGTGAAACATATAGCTTTATTTTCCATTAAAACTCTTTCCCACATATCTTCAATCGTTTCAAAAGAAGAAGTGCTTCTTCTCCGATTCATTCGAGGAGAATCTACAGTAACAATCTCACTTTCTTCATCGACTGCTTCACCAACGTTTTCATTAACTTCTTCAACTTCTTCATCTTCAGTAGAACTTTCCAAACAAACAATTTCTTTGATGGTATAGCTAGATATTGTTCTAGGAAAAAAAATGAAACTGAAATTACTAACGTTTATTCAAAGAAAATTGTTATTTTTGCTAACTGATTATTCTAATGTTCGAAGCAATTTCAAAAAAATTGCGAAAGGATCCAAGTAGAGGATTTTCCAACATTCCGGGAATTGCAACTAAATTATTGTTTCCTAATTTCAGGAGCAATTTTTTAAATGTTACTAATTGTTTGTTTTAATGGTAGAAACCATTTAAAAAAATGCAAGAGGATCTAAGGCGAAGAAAGCAGTAATTTCTACTTTTTTCAAAAATTATTTATTTAAAATTCCAGGATTTTCGAAAATTCTGTAAAAATAAAAATTACTGCTTTCCCCGGCTTGGATCATTTCGCAATTTTTTCAAAATTACTTGTAAATATTAAAATAATCAGTTGGCAAAAATAAAATTTTTTCTTGAATAAACATTAGTAACTTAAGATTCATAAGAAATGAGAATAATTTTTTGTTATTACAGGCCTCGGATATTATGACTTTTTCGACTGTTTTCAAAAAGTGAGACTTTTTTCGAATAATTTTCAAACATTGTGATTTTTTCTATTTTTCTTCCAAATATTGCAAAAAAAAAAAAATTTAGTTAAAAATTGTAGAAAATAATTTAATTTTGTAAAGGTTATAGTTGTAATTTTTAGAAATTATTTTTCTGAAAGTTTCTAATTAAAATTTAGAGATCAGTCACTTTTTTGCGTCTTGAAGTCGATCCGAGGCCTGTTATTACTAAAAAAAATTTATGTCCAAAATTGCATTTAAAATTTTGAAGGACTATATACGTACTTAGAATGACGTGGGGTGTCCTCCAAGAAATTCATAGTTTTGAAATAGGGAAATTCAAAGTCTTCCTCTGGAGCCCCAGACCCAGAAGCAATATACAAATTTTTTTTTGCACGTTCAGCTTGGTATTGATCTCTAAGTTTTTTCCAAGTATTTTTTACTTCTGTAACTAAATTTAAAATAATTTAAATTAGAAATTTTCTTTTAAGAATGATAGATAAATTAAACTTTCTAAAGTTTTAAAATACAATTTATTAAGTTTTCATGTCAGACTCCACACTCTCATCTCCTAAAACCTATTATTTACTACTTTCTTATGACTTGCTACTATTTGGATACTTTTTTTAAGATTTGTGATACTAAATGTTACTTTTTTGAGATTTGCACTACTTTAAATGAGCTAAAAGTTGAAACAAAAAAATTATTCTATAAATTTTAATAACATTCTTGGAAACGGTTATTTTCAATATCTACAGTTTTAATAAAATTTCTCAATAAAATTCAATTATTTTCATAAATAATAAAATTTTCACAGATATTCAATTATTTGAAATACAATTTTCATTAAATTTTTCTGAAAGAAATCAATTATTTAAAAAAATTTTATTAAAATTTTTCGCGTGATTAAAATTATTTTCAAAAATTTTAATGTCATTTTCTTAGAAAATCAATTATTTTCGAAAATTTCTATAAAATTCTTCGCTAGAATTGAATTATTATTAATTACAGTAAATAATTTTAATTAAAAAAACAGAAATAAGTATTTTAATATTTATTTAACAAAGAATTATTCATGTTTTGAATGTAATTTAATTTTTAAATTTTGTCTGGGTGATAAAATACAGAATGAAAATTTTTTTGATTTTTGTGAATCGATTAAAACGAGTTTTTTAGTCATCAAATTTAACTATTGAGTGTGAAGCCAGTTATATTTTAAAAGAACATATTAATTTGTAACATAATTTTTATTATCAACATTGTATAATTGTTGATATTTAAAAAGTACATACCAGTCATATTAATTCCTAACTTTGCGTAAATCGATTGTCTTATATCCTCCCAAGCTTTTCTTTTTCTATTATTATTTTTAAATGATTTTGATTTTTTTGTATGAATCAAAGGGCATTTACTAACATTTTGAATTAATAATTCATTTAATTCCAAATTATCAGACATTTTCAAAAAATTAATTCAACTGCTTTTTCAACAACAACATACTATAAAATAACAAAAGAATATCAAAATTACTAACCTTATATTTTAACTATCAGTTGTTTTATTTATTCGTAAACAAAAATTATTATGAACGCGTACAATTTGCATTTCATATTTTAAAAAAGTCGACAATTAAAATGAGTTTTTTCGTAATTTTAATTTCTTTAATGGTACAGTGGATAAGTTTATTGCATAAAATTTTATATTTATGCAAATGTAAGGGCGCTTTGAGGTTTAGACGTTGGTGGGTGAAATCTCATTTAATGGAGGAAATGAGAAATATATTTGGTGCATACAATTCGCTATTTTTAGTTTTCATGAAAGAGGATCATGAAGAATTCTATAATCTGACAAGGATGACACCAAACGATTTTGAAGAATTGCATCAACTTATTAAACACAGGCTTCAAAAGCATAGCATTCGAAAACCACTGCCAACGAGACTTCGCTTGGCGCTTACCTTGAAGTATGTAATTTTAATGTAATTAAATTAAATATTCAATTGTTAATTTTTAAAAATTTCAAATTATATAAACTTATGTTAAATTCTGCTTTAATGTTATTTTAATAACGACTTTTTTTAAAATTTTTAGAAGATTATTTAATGCACATTATTATCTAAAGCCTTTTTGAGTGGAAATTTAACAAATTTTTCTAACGCAATCTTTATTTTCTATTTTAAAAATTCTTATGATCCTTATTTACAGTTTATTATTATTATTTATTTATTATTTACATTTCATTTAGAGTTTATATTTTATTTATTGTTATTTACAATTAATTATTTTTTTATTTATATTATAGTTTACTTGCAAATGGAGATAGCGTGAGGACAACTCAATATTTTTTTCGTGTTGGTCGATCTACAGCTTATAAAATTGTGGAAGAAGTTGCAACTGCAATTTGGGAAGAGTTATCGCCATGGTATCTGCGACCAAGGACTCAGCGGGAGTGGAAAGTAATTGCTTCAGGTTTCAGAGCGAAGTGGGACTTTCCAAATGTTATCGGAGCCATGGATGGAAAGGAATTTAGAATTCAACCGCCACCTCATAGTGGTAGTACCACCCCCTTGCACTTTACCAAGGAGCGAAGAAAAATCTACATTTTTTCTTATTGGGGATGAGATATTTCCATTTACAGAATTTCTCATGGTTCCATTTGCTCGTCGGAATATTTTAAATGCTGCTAAGGAAAATTTCAATCGAAGGTATAATGAGAAAATTTTTTAAATACAGTAAATACGTAAAAAAAATTGTTTTGTTCAAGTGACAATTTCATTGTAAAGTAACCATAAAATTATTATTTTTAGATTATCAAGAGCGAGAAATACCATAGAGGCGAGTTTTGGATTTTTGGTTTCCACTTTTCAGCTTTTAAAACAAACCTTACGGTTTAAATTGGAAACTTCAATTAAGATTGTCCTAGCAGCAGTTTGTTTGCATAATTTTTTAATTACCAGGCGAATGGAACGTGGTGAAAATATTGATTTCTCAACACAAGAGGAAAGACCAGAAGTCCTCGTTTTTGGTAAGACTTTAGTTGAGGGACCAGTGAAATTTCAACACATCCAAATTTCTGATGATTATGGGAGGTCAATTTTTTCTGAAAATTTTATGTATTTTATTTTAAATTCTATTTCATTTTATTTCAAAGTGACTCACCTCTTAAATAATTGTCCTTATGAACTTTCCGATGGTATCATTTTTTTTAAATAATATAATTTATCGAAAAAATTAAAATTGGAAAACTTATTAAATATCTCAAAATATGTCGCCTCCGATTTATTTTAAATTTATGTCAAAGTAAAGCTTGAATATTCTAATTTAATTCCCTATAAACATTATAATGGTCAATTCAGGGAAATTTTTTGAAATTAATTAAATTTTACAAAAATGTCAGAAGTTAAACTGTGTAAAAGTTTAAAAAAACAGTTGTAAAATTTAATTAATTTCTGAAATTTTTAAGAATTACCCATTTCAATGTTTACAGGGAAATAAAGTTTGGCTTCAATAAATAGTAGAAATAATTATTTAAAAATTGCCTTCCCATGTCAATTGTTTATAAAAAAAATCGTTTTGAAATAGAATGTCCCATATACTATAAAAGATTAACAAACAATTAGTTAATATTTTTTAAAATAAAACTATATTTTCGAGAAAAATTAAAAAACAGTTAAAAATTTTTTTTTAGATTCTTCAAGTTTTAAGAAAACAATTTTTTTCCAAACTAGCAAATAAAATAAATTAAATTTCTAAAATAGTAAACTAAGAATATTTATTAGAATAATTTTAATTACATAAATCTGTCAATTTATAATAACAATAATTAAATATTTCTTTTTTATAGGTGACAGAGAAGAAACACAAGAAGAAGAAGAAGTTGAAGAAGATCAATTTGGTGATGGCGCAATTCACCAACGAGAAGTTTTGATGAACTATTTTATGTCAGAAGCTGGTGCAAATTAATAATTTAAAGAAAGATATTTTAATGTTCTTTTATAAAGCAAAATGTTTCAAAACTTAATTTTCAAAGATTTTAACAAAACACTTAAAAATGACTATTTCAAGGTCTGTAATCTTCTAGTTCTAGAAATTTTGAATTTATCAGAAATGCTACTATGTAACTTCTACAAAATTATTTAAGTGATTTTAATTTCATTATTTTCTAGATTTTTAATAACTGAAATTTTTTCTAAATCAACAATTTTCAATAATTTTGATAAAAAATTATAAAATCCACTTCTAGCGATATTTTAATTATTCGAATTTTTTTCAATTAAATATAATGTATTTAGAAATTCGATTAATTTCACCAATAATTGTAATACTTTTTTTTAATTAAACTTTTTCATAATAATATATTATTAGCACAATAATTTTAATTTATTTTTATAAATAAAAGTCATTTATGACGAATCGAATTTTTATTATTTAATAATCAAACATTTCAAACAAGAATTGTAAATGTAATAACAAGTAGGTAGTAGTAAACATTTCTTATAATTGTTTTCAACAGAATTTTAAAGTTAGTAAAAGTTTAGATTAATGTAATTTTTTAACATTAGATTACTTGATGACAATATTTTTCCAAAATTAGAAGAAGTTCGGGGTATATATCATCCTGTTCTTCTGATGTCAAATTGTCCCATTCTAACTTAATATTTTCTAGAAATCTATCTCGAATTTGAATTGGTTTTACAATCCTTGTAAAATTTGAATTAATGTGACCGCAACTTTGCTTCAAACGTTGTTCTGATTCTAAAATTTTCAGTTTTGTAAGAGTTGTAACGTGTTCATTCATTTTTCTTGCATCTTGACAGAAAGATATAACTTCTTCTTGAACCTTATCAAATTTATCAATTCTCTCCCTCTTTTTTTCCGCGAACTTGTCAAAACTCGGAACAGTAGTTCCCATTTTCCGTGAATTTTTATTAAATTGTTTTTCAGGTCGTTTTTTTGGAGGTGGAATAGGATTTTTTTTCTGTCGAGATGATTCGGTTATAATTCGGGGGTTTATATCATGTAATGATATATCGTTAATATTGTCAATCTGTGATAAGACATTATCAAGAGGTTGACGATAAACAAGTGGTTCCGCGATATTACGTGATTTTGAAGTTCTGGATTGAGAAAATGAAATGTCTGAAGATTGAAAGTTCTGTTCATGCAATTGGTTTCCAATAGTGTCGTTATCCTGAGATGGGTTTTCGATAATACCTCTGTGAAAAACATGAGGTTCTGCGAGATAACGCAATATTGGACGTTCAGGTGGAGAAATTGATACCCGCGGTGGGTTATCAATGGTATCGCCAATTTGTGATGGGACATGGGTAATAGAAGAATGAAAAACACGAGGTTTCTCGATTTTACGTAATTTTGAAGCTCTGGATTGAGGAAATGAAATGTCTGAAGATTGAAAGTTCTGTTCATGCAATTGGTTTCCAATAGTGTCGTTATCCTGAGATGGGTTTTCGATAATACCTCTGTGAAAAACATGAGGTTCTGCGAGATAACGCAATATTGGACGTTCAGGTGGAGAAATTGATACCCGCGGTGGGTTATCAATGGTATCGCCAATTTGTGATGGGACATGGGTAATAGAAGAATGAAAAACACGAGGTTTCTCGATTTTACGTAATTTTGAAGCTCTGGATTGAGGAAATGAAATGTCTGAAGATTGAAAGTTCTGTTCATGCAATTGGTTTCCAATAGTGTCGTTATCCTGAGATGGGTTTTCGATAATACCTCTGTGAAAAACATGAGGTTCTGCGAGATAACGCAATATTGGACGTTCAGGTGGAGAAATTGATACCCGCGGTGGGTTATCAATGGTATCGCCAATTTGTGATGGGACATGGGTAATAGAAGAATGAAAAACACGAGGTTTCTCGATTTTACGTAATTTTGAAGCTCTGGATTGAGGAGATGAAATGTCTGAAGATTGAAAGTTCTGTTCATGTAATAGGTTTCCAAAAGTGTCGTTATCCTGGGATGGGTTTTCGATAATACCTCTGTGAAAAACATGAGGTTCTGCGAGATAACGCAATATTTGCCCTTTAGGTGGAGAAATTGATACCGGCGATGGGTTATCAATGGTATCGCCAATTTGTGATGGGACATGGGTAATAGAAGAATGAAAAGCATGAGGTTTCTCGATTTCAAGTGATTTTGGAGCTCTAGATTGAGAAATTGTTGTTGGTTTAACTTCAGATTGATTCTTAAATGGTTTTAAACTTAAAGAGGTTAATTTTGTAGGAGTTGCTAGAAAAGTGAATGAAGACTGGTTGGGTATTCGAGAAAATCGGCGTTCTGATGGCGCTTCTACAAAAACTGATGGAAATTTTGATGTCGATTCACGAAAATAAGTATATTGCGACGTAGATGATCCGGCGGAAGGCAAAGGACTCGGTATTGCTGGATTAACATCTTTCGAAGGACAGGAATTTGCTGATGAAGACTGTGTTGATGACTCGATATGTAGCGAAGTTGTTGATTCGTCGGGTAAAGAAGAACGGAAATGTAAATATTGTGACGTAGATGATCCGGCGGAAGACACAGGACTCGGTATTGCTGGATTAACATCTATCGAAGGACAGGAATTTGCTGATGAAGATTGTGTTGATGACTCGATATGTAGCGAAGTTGTTGATTCGTCGGGTAAAGAAGAACGGAAATGTAAATATTGTGACGTAGATGATCCGGCGGAAGACACAGGACTCGGTATTGCTGGATTAACATCTATCGAAGGACAGGAATTTGCTGATGAAGACTGTGTTGATGACTCGATATGTAGCGAAGTTGTTGATTCGTCGGGTAAAGAAGACTGCAAATCCTGATTACTTGTTTCTTCCCTGATTGTATCCTCATCGAAATTTTTCGATGTTTTGTTGATGCTAGTAGTAGAAAAGTTATTGTTTTATTTATTTTTGTATTTGGTTTGATTAAAATAATAGATAATGAAAATTTCTTTTAATAAAAAATTAGTTTGAATTTTTCATAGTTGCCAGGAACCCGTACCAAACGCAAGTGCTCATGCCTCGTGCCTTTATTGTAGTGGGTGGAGATTTGCCAGGGTGACCGCAAGATTGACTTTATCAATTTCCCTGACATTTTACTGACATAACAACGAATTTCCCTGACAAAATTTTTTTGTTTAGAGCAAAAAATGTATTGCATGACCGCCTTAATTTCTTTAATTGCCCTGACAAAAAATTTTTCCTGACATTTCCCTGACTTTACTGACAAAAATTTTTTTTCTTGACATTACCCTTCTTCTTTAATTTCCCTGACAAAAAAATTTTTCCAGACATTTCCTTGATTTTACTGACAAAAAATTTTTTTCCTGACATTTCCCTGACTTTACTGACAAAATATTTTTTTCCGTGACATTTCCCTGACTTTACTGACATGTGGCCACTAGGGTGGTCCAAAAATACATTAAGAAAAAAAAGTCAGAATTTTTTTGCTCTCACCCCCCGGAATTGAAGTTTGTAGGAAAAAAAAATACCCCTGTTTTTTTTCATAATAAAATAATATTAACCCGTGCCTCAAAGCCCCTCAAATTTCTTATGTATTTTAAATGAGAAAAAACCATTTTTCGTAAATTTAATATAAAATCTAGAGAAAATTTTTTTTTCACTCGGTTAAGAATGTTTTTCTTCTAGAGTATTTAAAGAATAAAATCCTTTTACATATTTAACAAATTTTTTATTTTCTATATTTTTTTTTATTTTTGAAAAATTTTCAAAAAGCAAAAAACGGTAATTTATTATTTTTTATTCGTTAATAGATTCATAAAAGCCAATTGAATTACAATAGATGAGAAAAATTAATAATAAGTAATAAAAAATAATATATTACCGTTTTTTTAGAATTTTTCAAAACTAAAAAAAAAATATAAAAAATAAAAAATTTGTTAAATATGTAAAAGGATTTTATTCCTTAAACACTCTAGAAGAAAAACATCCTTAACCGAGTGAAAAAAAAATGTTCTCAAGATTTTATATTAAATTTACGAAAAATGGTTTTTTTCTCATTTAAAATACATAAGAAATTTGAGGGGCTTTGAGGCACGGGTTAATATTAATTTATTATGAAAAAAAACAGGGGTATTTTTTTCCTACAAACTTCAATTCCGGGGGGTGAGAGCAAAAATATTCTGACTTTTTTTTCTTAATGTATTTTTGGACCACCCTAGTGGCCACCCTGTTTGCGCTCTTATTTAAAATGCCTTATAAATTTTTTAGTATATAAGGCATTTTAAATAAGAGCGCAAATTTCCACCATCTCAGATAGCAGCACTATAGCAATAGCGCTTAATTTTTGATTTCGCGAAAAATCACATTTGGTTTACAAAAAAATGGGCTAAGTAAATAAATATTTTTTGTGTCATAATGAAAAGTTACAAATTGAATTAGGTAAGCGAGGAATTTGTGTCATAGGAAAAAAGACGGTTTTGCAAGTCACAGTATCGTAAAGTTATAGACTAAAAAAAATTGAGGTTTTGTCGCCTATGTCATAGAAGGCACCTTTTTTTGAAAAAGTAAGAAAATGTAGAGTGAGACAAACTTATGCCTCTGCCATAGGAGAGAGATGAAAGACAAGACGATTTTTTCTAAAGTCGTGTAAACGTACTCTTACTCGCCCCATAGAGGTGCGAGTGGGGAAGAAAAAGCGCGTCTATTTAAAACTTTAAGTCTACCAATAAGAATAGTTTTGTAGCGCAAGCCCAATTACGTTTGAGGACGGTCGTTAGCAACTCTGGCAATTCGTATTAGAATTAGATCGATTTGATAAAAAAACAAAAAAAAACTTTGGTTATAATATTACAGAAATAAAGCAAACCTTTTGTGTTGAATAAATGGCTGCAGGAACATTAACTTCTTGTAATGAATCCAAGTCGTATTTCCATTTTTGTCACAATTACTGAAATTACGACGCAAATTTTCCCAAACTTTTTTTGGATCTGAAAAAGCGTAAAAGTTTAATAAAATAACCGCAGTCTTGGTTTTCTTTTAATCTAAACTTAATTTTATTAAAATTTAATTGTATACAATATTGTTAGACTTTAACATTTATTTTTCTATACAAAATGAAGTTAATATTAGTTTTTAGTTTTAGTTTAGAAGTTAAGAGAAGGGGTAGGGGGAGGATATTGAATAAAAATTTTAATAATTTTATAATGTTTAAATTAAAATTTGTTCACCTTCAATTGATACTCCGCTCTCTTGTAAAAATTGTTTGATATTAAACCACATTTCCTTTTTCTCTTGAACACTAAATTTCGATCGATAATTAGGATCATAAATCCAAGAGTTTTGAGAAACAATTTCAATTAAAATATTAGTTTTATAAGTATCCATCTTCGTTTCAATAACTTTTTAAAATGAGCACAAACGCAAATTGAATGCTTCCTCACTTTTAGAAAAAACAAATTTTTTCAAATCAGGTAATGTTAGGAAGTGCTTTTAATTATTCTTTTGTTTTAAAAACAAAAAAATGCGTAACTTTGCGTAACTTTACATAAAATAACGTTATTAATTACTAGAAAAACGTTATCTCTGTAGTAGCAGAAATTAAAAATATCCAGCAAAAAATTAAATTATCGATTTCTTTAATTATTCGAGTTCCTGCGGTTAAGCAGTTCCAGAGAAAAACTTGAAATTTCCGTTTTTTGAAGCTATGGAGTTTTCAGAAGATTGCCAACAGCAATTCAAGTACGATACAGTAATAAAATATAAAACTTATTTTGTTTTTTTTTTCTTTTATTTTATATTCCAACAAAAAAATCTTTCATGCAAAACGTTCCGACAATTAGTTAAATATCAGTTTACCAAATAAAATTTATAACTAAAGTTTTAATATTGAATTGTAAATTTGAAACAAATATAAACTTTAATTTAATGTTTAACACAAGCAGCTAGTGAAATCTAATTATTCGTCTTTTAATACTTAATTTTGGCGTCAATACTTTCTTTAATTATAAATATTTTCAAGTCAGTTATGTAGTTTAGTCTCAACGTTTGTCCAAATGTCAAAATTTTCAATTTTTTAAAGAAAAAATTCAAATATTTAAAAAAATGCTTAATATATTCAAATTTTCTGAAATATATATCCAGATTTCAACTCTTTTAATAATATTCCAGAGTATCTTGCAAATCCATTCAGTAATTTAGGTTATGCGTTTGTTTAAATGTCAAAAATTCGCTGTTTTTCGGTTTTCTTTGCTTGAATTCTATAAAAGTATCAAAAATATTGAATAAACTTAACATAATTCTTCTATTTATCAATCTTTATTCAACAAAAAAAATTGAGCAAAATCGGTTATTTAATGAATAATTATTCTTAATTATTCACAGGATTCGCAATAACCCTATTGATGAAACACAAATGGAAAGTCTTCGAAGAATTGAAGAGAAAAACAATCTTTTTTACATAATTTTAGATATATGGGACAGAGTACTACCAGAAAACAAAGTTTTGTGCTTTAAATCAATGAAAGAATTAATTCAAAATAAAAAGAAACAGCGCGAAAATTAGTAAAAATTGAAGGACAATAATTTATTGTATGATGTTTCGGTTTATTTAAACATATATATATATATATATATATATATATATATATATATATATATATATATATATATATATATATATATATATATATATATATATATATATATATATATGTATATATATATATATATATATATATATGTATAATATTCATGTTAAATAAAACAATGATTTAAGTAAAATTTAATAAATGATTTTTAAACCTGGACAGTATAACTGAAGTAAAATACTACCCCAGAGAAAATGCGAATTAATTACTGTTAAGAAAATAAGATATATTTAAAGGTTCTTCTTTTTTCCTTCTTTAGAAGTGCGAATTGAGAAATGAGAAAATGCGAATTAATTACTGTCAAGAAAATAAGATATATATTTAGAGGTTCTTCTTTCTTTCTTCTGTAGATTATGGCTTCCCAGTACAAAAAAATACAGGCATCACAGTACATTTTTTCTTTAAACATTAAAGAATAAGTTTCTATACTTCAAAATTTTCATTATAAATATTTTATTGTAGAAAAAAAATGCTAAAAGTAGACAATTATTTAGAAAAACGAAAAAAATTACACTTTTTTAAAAAATTCTAGTTTTTGTAATTTTCAATATTTTTAACTAATATTTAACATTTGTATTCTTGAATAGTGGTACAATACAATACAAATAAATTTTATACTGTTGTTTCTAAAAAAAGCATTTTTTGCAAATTGATGGGGATGATTTTTATTTTTTGACAACATTCAGGAGACAACTGACTAGAGTATTACACTCGGGGAACATTGAAACGTGCAGGGTGTCTACTATTTTCGTCCAACAAAATTGCAGGTTTTGTCCTAATTTTCCCCGTTTTTTTCTCAGGAAATTTAAATTTATTTGATTTCAAACATAAATAAATCAACCAATGGCTTCAAAAATTTTTATTAGAGTTTTTATGAATAATTAAATTCTTTTAACAAGTTTCTTTAAATTTTTTGAAAAAAAATGTTCTTTTAATAATTTTAATTAAAAATTTAAAAAATAATTAAATTAAACAAAGAATTATTTCAATTTTTCAAAATAATCTTGTCTGTCCATAATTATAATTGAAAACATAATTAATTCAATTTTATTAAAATTTATTGATACTAATTGAATTTCGCTGCATAGAATTTTATTACTTTTGAAAATAATTTAATTTTTTTTTTTAGAATTTTATGAAAATAATATTGAATTATTGTAAAGAATTTTTTTTTAAATAATATTCAAATGAATTTAGTACATATGAAGAATTTTGCTTTTTATTGAAATAACTGAATAAATTCTTAATTAAAATTTTTTTACAGTTTCTAGAAATAATTGACTTCTTTCGACGAATTTTAATAAAATTAAAAATAATTGAAATTCTGCGATAAGTTTTACTATTTTAAATAAAAAAATTAAATATGTTGCAAAGAAATTTTTAAATATAAAATTATAAATACCGTGACTAATTTCCCTTGATTATTTATCGAAAAATTTAAATAACCAAGGTGGCCACCAATTTTAGTTTGTCAATTTCTTTGACATTTCCCTGACAATTACTGATGATTTACTGAATTCAATTATTTTTTACAATTTTCAACTAAACATCATCTCTGAATCAATTAATTTAAATAATTTCCCAAAAGTTCTTCTAGAATTCAATTATTTAAATGCAAAAAGTCAATTTTTTATAATAATTGTAATGATACATATGAATATAATACTTTTTTAATTTTAAAATTTCATAAAATCTTTTTAAAATAATTGAATTTTTGAAAAATATAAATAAAAATGATCAAATTTTTTAAGAATTTTAATTAAAAAACAGAATCATGATTTCTTAAAAATTCAATAACTCCATAAAGTAAATTTTTATAAAAATAATTGAATTTCTTAAAAAAAATTTTTGTATGATTTAAAAAAACTAATTTTTTTAATTTTAATTACAAATTTTGAACCTGATTGTTTTCTCTAAAATTTTAAAAGAATTCCAAAATGTTATTATTTTTGTATGTATTTTCATTCATTTCAATTTTTTAATTTACCTTTAAAGATTTCTCATTAAAAATTTTTGATATTTTAATTATTTTCAAAATTTGCAATTAAAATTCTTCAAAAATTGTAAATAAACACTTGAAATGAATTAAATATTTGCAATTAAATTTTACAAAAGTTCAACGGCTCGAAAAGGTTTTTATTGCAGAAATATTTGAAAAATTTAATTATATGAAAACATGATTCACAAACAAATTTTGAAAGATTTGTTTATAGTTATTTTTTGCATTATAAAAATTAAAATAAGTTGCACTTTTTTTAAAAAAAAGTCGAAGAAGTACCTGACATTCCCTGACTTTACTGACAAAAAATTTGTTTCTCTGACATTTCCTTGACTTAACTGACAAAAATTTTGTTTCACTAACATTTTCGTGACTTTACTGACATGTGGCCATCCTGATAACATTGTTTAAAAGAATTTAATTATTTTTAATAGAATGTGAAGAAATTTCAATTATTTGTTTATAAAAATTAAATTATCTTGAAACAATTTTCAGTATGTATCTTTTTTTAAATTGACTAATAAAAGTTTTAAATATTAATCTTCGCACTAAAAAACATGAATACATTTGAATTTGACTTTATAAAATTCAATTATTTATCAATTATTAATTTAAAATACTTTCAAAATAATATTATCATAACAGTATAAATATATATAAAAATCAAAATAAAAAACCATTTTTTAGAAACAAATTAAATAATAAAACTTTTTTTAATTTGGTTAAAAATTTCCGGTTTGGCTTAAAATTCCTGGCTTATTTCCAGTCACATTAAATTCCCCCCACTATTTCCCGGTTAGTAGACACATTGCCACACAAACCCTGTATGTGCTCCAGAAGGCAGATTGTGATATTTCTGACGTGGAATGACTAGGAGTAAACTGATGTGGGAGACTCTTATTGCTCTGCTAAAAAATCCTCCTCAAGTATATTTGGAAAAAAAAGAATAAAAAAATATCTGTTGACATATAAAATATTTAGTGTCTTGTTGCTTCTTTTTCCTTTAATAGTGGTATTTACAGATTATCTTGCCGAATTATTAAAAAGGAGGAAAGTGACATATAGTAATATTATTTTGCGTTAAATATAAACATTCTAACGTGAAAAAATTTTGAGTTTGTTTCTTGTTCCAATTGTACTTCAACGTATGAGCCAACTATATGTTGTACTCTTTAGGCTTAGAGACTTTTATAAGCAATCTAATTTATTTGATGAATTAATGAATTATAATTAAATTTTTATGGATCCGGTAAGAAGACTGGAATAGAATAGAATTAAAGAAGTTAATTCAATTCACTCCTAAAATTCTCTCTTTTTTAATTCTACACATAAAATAGAAATTTGTAAATTTTTAATCACTTTAATTCGCTTAAGGTAAAATGTTTACGGAAATTTCTTCATTTCAGCATTGAAAGATATTAAAAAACCTTAAATCTATTTCAGTTTTGGAATAGAAAATATTCAACATTATTTCTTGTAAAAGGTATTGTTTGGAATTAAAACAATTATAAATCTCCTTAACAGAATCATCTATTTTTATATATCGATTGAAAAAAATTTTTAAATTCGACATTTCCACAAGAAAAATTTAATTTGTGTCTGTGCTTCGCCACATTAAAATAAGGTTTTTTTTAATATATTATGCTATAAAATTAAAATCTAAGCTGGACATTTTTTTATATTGCTTAATGTATCATTTAGAAATAAAATTTACTTTTATAATAATTAGAAAAACAGATATAGTCTATTTAATAATAGTGACGCATGGATATCGTAGAAATGCTAAATTAAAAATTTACGTACGTAATTTATTCTACTTATGGAATACAAGTGGCATTTGGAATAGAGAGAAATTAACCTTTTGCATATTCTGTCAAAATTCAAGGGTATAGAAATTCAGAAGGAATATCCGGGGTTAAATAGAAAGAAAGAAGTTCAAATTTGAAAAATTACCTTGAAGATTCACATAGGCGAGAGGTCCGTTACGAAGAATATCGTAAACACCACAACTATTATTGGTCCCATCCCGTTTCTTTTGGTCACAACCATTATAAGGAGACCAATCTGTCATTCATCCTACCTGCAAATATTCAATTACATTATATTTTAAAAAAAAAAAAATTTTTTTAATTACGTAACAAATTTATCACTGACCTTTTTAGGTCTTGTTTCTTTTAATGCAGCATTTCAACTGATTTTCACTGTACGTCACCTACGGATTTTCCCGCTAATTTGTACATTTTTCTTTAATTTCTTGTCGGCCCGCCTTAGAAAATTTGCGCCACCGGAAAGATGAATTTTCTTAAGTATTCAAATATTAATTCAAAAAAAAATTTTAATTACCATACTTAAGATATAGGTACCTTTTTTTATAAACAAAAAACTGACATTAAATTTGAATTCAAATTGCAAAAAAATTTTTGTAAATTAATAAGAAAATAAATTATTACTTTGAAAATTAGTTTTCTATTGACTCCTCTTTTATTAATTTAACGATTACTAGTTTACTAATATCGAAATAGTAATAACATTGTTTCAAGTGGAAAATTTTCCAACATCAACATTCACAAGAGCTATAAGCAAAAAAAAAACATAGCAAAAGCAAGAAAATTAAGAAAGAAACTTCAAATTGTTTAAATTAATAGCTTACCTTTTTAAATTAATAATCAAATGTTTGAATTATATTTCAATGTGTCCTGGGACTTTGTAAACAAACGTATCTAACCTCACTAACTTGAAATCAATACAAGTCATATTCTCCTGAAAATCTAATGACGATGTATTAAGATTTAAACTTACTTAATTTTCTTCAGAGCACATTTTTTTTAACACTTTATAATATAGCAACAATCGTTTTCATCTTTTTAAAATCATATGCAAATTCGCAAATTTGATAAAAATGTCGCTTTAAATCTTTAAATTTTCAGTTATGCCCAAAATTGCACCCTACGTTTACGCTACTGATAAAGATCATTTTTATTTCCCCTGACAGTTGGCAATACCAAAAACACTACACACTATACTACACATTACACATAGTTCAACACATTATTTTTTCTGTTGTAGACGCAGCCTAAATGTAAAAAATTACTTTGTTCTCAATAACACAGGCACACAAAAAAATAAAAAAGTCAAAACCCAGAGGTCACACCCCCCTATCCCCATGTTTTTGGGGTCGCTGAAACCGAATAAGACCATGAAAAATTTTTTTCATAGGCCATTTTCCCGCTACCACCCCCTTACACCTGCTCCCGGGGGTTGGAATTTCAGTTTAAAAAAAAGTGGAGTAGGGTGTCTATTCCTATATTTTTTGGGACGCTAAAACCAAAAAAGACTACCAAAAACAAATTCTTCCCTCCCTTAATCCCCTACAACCCCCTTAACACCCGAAAGGTGGGGGGTTGAAATTCGAATTTTCACGAAAAGTCGATTACGGTGTCTAAACCTACGTTTTTTGGGTCGCCGAAACCAAAAAAGACTACCAAAATCAAATCCTTTCCACCCTCAACATCCTACAACCCCCTGCAATAATTTTTGATAATTAATATTTAATTTTCAATCTCCCGAAAATCGGTTCGTTTTATTTGAAAAAAATTATTACAGGGGGTTGTAGGGGATCGGGGTGGAAAGGATTTGATTTAGGGAATCTTTTTTGGTTTCAGCGACCCAAAAAACGTAGGTTTAGACATCGTAATCGACTTTTCGTGAAAATTCGAATTTCGACCACCCACCTTTCGGGTGTTAAGGGGGTTGTAGGGGGTTAATGGAGGGAAGAATTTGTTTTTGGTAGTCTTTTTTGGTTTTAGCGACCCAAAAAACATAGGAATAGACACCCTACTCCACTTTTTTTAAAACTGAAATTCCAACCCCCGGGAGCAGGTGGAAGGGGGTGGTAGCGGGAAAATGGCCGATGAAAAAAAATTTTCATGGTCATATTCGGTTTCAGCGACCCCAAAAACATGGGGAAAGGGGGTGTAACCTCTGGGTTTTGACTTTTTTATTTTTTTGTGTGCCTGTGTAATCAATATAAATTATTGTTCATCTGTAGTCTTTAATATTGTAAGGTCTATTTTTTATTGCGTTTCTATTGTAAAATTTTTTTATTAAATTTAGTATAAATGTAAAATCACTTGAAAATTATCTTTTTTTACTTTACAACAGTCATTTGTAATCAGAAATGTAGCGATATTATTTTTTACGAAGGACTATAGTAAAATAAAAAGGCAAACACCAGCCGGTCACCTTATTTTACAATAGTCCTGTTGTAAAGGCTATACGACTGTCTGTATCACTGATTCCCTTAGACTGTTGCTAATGTGATTAGAATCCAAGATGTAGACTATTATAATTATAACAAGTCTCTGCGTGAATGCTCACAGTTTTCTTTCTGAACCTGCACATCTAACCTATTAATGATTCTAAAAAATAAATTTCAACACGAGCAATACAGTGTTGGGATTTATTAAAGTAACTATAGCAATCGCTCCTACTCAATTCTTAATACATTACATAGTTTTCGTAATCATTACAAAAAGTGGTCACATATCCGAACTGTAATATAGATTATTGTAATCATTAAGAAAGAATTTTTTCCGTGTAATGAATTGAATTATTATTGAAATTTAGCCTTAAACTCAATTTCGTTGCAAAAAAAAATTGGTTTGAGAGGATGAAATTTTTTTCTCGGTACTTTCGACAAAAAACGCTAATGTAAGATCTTGCGATTCGCAATGTCCTCCCATCGCGTTATCGTTGATCAGAGAAAAGGAGTACGTAACATATAAAAAAATAGAATGCAAAAAAGAAGGGAAAGGACTTTACTTAACGGACTTTAAGTAACATCTTGAATCGCGGATCGGTAAATGCACACATAGCTGAAACAGGATTGGCTAATTACGGAATAAGCTTCAAGATTTTAAACTGATTAATTAAAGGTATATAATTAAGTACAGCTCGTAAATAAAGTTTTATCATAAGACTTTCTGCTTTTAACACTTCTTTAAAAACATGAAACAACATTCAATTTTACTTGATTCACACTTTCACACTTAATTTATCATTCAAATATTCAAAAAAATTACAGAAACTCATTAAATTTCACGATTTTATACCTATATTATAAATATTTATTTTCATTCTATTTTTTTTAATACCGGGCTTGTCCTGAATTAACGATTGTGTCACATGCCACGTATGTGACCTTTAAGTAACCTTAGACCAGACTTGTTACCAAGCAAACTTGACAAACATCCATCGATGAGCAATCTTTTTACAACCCTATTACATCGATACACGGATGTGATCTGGGTATATAAGGCCCTAAATTTGGATCCAAAAATCAGTATCTAATTTAAATCAAAGCGATCGACATGATCTCTGTACCAGTAGTCAGTGCGAATCTATACTCGTAACCTACGAAAATCCCAGTTCAAGTAATACCCATCTCGTGAGTGAGCAACCTCTTGTCAATCTCCAAAGCAGTAAAATTGGAAAGGCGGTGCATCTGAGCTGACTGTGGACGCACGAGCGGAGAACGGGTTTCCAGGTTCGAATAGAAGCAATAAAGGTAATTAACTAAATCTTTTCATCATATCTTTTCAATACAATTTCTATATCTAATAAACGCCTATTTGTTAAAGGTGTTTATTGGAAAAGGAACTGGTCTTCTCTCGGCAAGATACAAATAACGAACTTCAAGAAATCATTATATAAATTTTTATAATAAATTTTATTTAACTAACTCTTAGACTTTTTCATTGATTCTTTTTTTCATTCCCAAATAAGATTTCTTCGGAATTTCTTATTTAAAACGATGATTACAAATGTTAAGAGGTGAGTTACTTTTTACATAACATACCCTCTTTTCTTGGTGCATCGGCCGGGAAACCCATAAAGAATTAATGATATTATTCTTTCTAATTCTTATTTTTTCTAAAAATCTATTTTTACATATTTTTAAGAATTCTAAAAATTTTCTACTGAAATTTGAAACATTTAAAATTAATTTTTAACTCTTATTTTTAAAAAATCTAAAATTTAATAAAAAATTGAAACACAAACCGAGAGAGAATCAATTCCAATGATTAAATAATTTCTTTTAAAAATTAATGTCTACTTCTAAAGAAAATATTACACAAGATAAACATACAACTCGATCAAAAATCAAAGAAAATTCTACTTTAAAACTTAACCCCGGAATTCCCTATTTTAAACCTTTAGCTACTGGTACACCTAGATACTCTTAACGAAAATCCAGACCCTTTTTGCAAATCCGAATTAGATTCAGGAATTTGTCATTCATTATTTGATAACAATTCTTTTAATACTGACGAAGAAAGTAATAATACAATTTTAGAAAATAACAATTCTTTAAATTCTACCTTACGAAATAAAAATTATTTCGCAATTATTTATTTATTAATTATTTATTAATTATTTATTTAATTATTTATTTCACAATTATTTATTTTATTTAAACTATTTTAAACAAAGACTCGAAAATTCCATAATTAGTACACACGACAGTGACGACGAAAACAGTGACGACGAGAACAGTGATAGTGAAAATTTAACAGAAAATAACGAAATGGCTCTACCAACAAACCAACAAGTATCTTTACGTGACGCTTTAGAAATAGTTCCTTTGTTTGACGGGACTAACATTCCAATCTCACATTTTATTGAAGGGTGTTTAGAAGCAGAGCAAATGCTTCCAGAAGGAGTAGCTCGAAATAATTTAGCAAAATTATTAAGGGCAAAATTAAGTGGGGATGCGCGAAAATGTATTTACGGAACTCAAATAGCAAATGTAGGCGAATTAATAAATAAATTAAAACGGGTATATTTGCCAGTTAAAACAGTATACCAATTACAGGGAGAATTAGGAAATATATATATATGTGGGAAAAAGTAAATATTACATCTTATGCTGCGCGAATAAAAGAAATTGCCGATAAAATTGAAGATGTTCACAGGTTAGGTAATGACGATGCAGTTGACGATGTTTTTAAAGAAAATTTAGAAAAAGATGTGATTCAATGCTTTGTGCGCGGATTAAGACCCGAGATAGCGCATGAAAGAAAAACCCACATTCCGAGGAATAGTAAATGATGCGATTGAAATAGAAAGGAATTTGACTGCTAGTTCAGATCTTCGAAAACACAAAATTAATGAGGATCATAAAGCTATAAAAATACACTCCTTACAAGACTCTTATTCACCTTGTTCGATTTGTAAGAGACGAAATCATAAAACAGAAAATTGTTTTTATTTACCACAAAATAAAACATACAGCCCACCAAGACAAACACAAGGATTTTCAAAACCCTATTTTAATAATCAAAATTTTTCAGAAAATAGAAATCCCTAATGGTAACAATTTTTATAGAAATAATAATAACTCTAATAATTTTATGAACAATCGTTCAAGAAATTTTCCAAATCAACGATAGAATAATTATTCTTACAATAACAATAATCAGAGATTTCCTAAAAAAGATATTACTTGTACTTATTGTAAGAAGTCAGGTCACTATATTTATGAATGTAGAATTAGACATCCTAGAAGAGAAGAATCATCCAATAAACAACAATATTTTAAACAACAATCTCAACCACAACATATTCAAAAATCACAAGAACAACAACCTCAATTTTCGGGAAACTTGAATTCAACCCCCAGCAAGGGTGGACTGAGGGTAGAATAAATTTAAAAACACCCGTTTCAAAAGAACAAATTACTTCAAACAATTCACAAACAAATACAATTCCTTAAATTATTATTTCTGCTGACGGTTTAAAATTTCCAGCTCGAATGATGATAGATACAGGAGCCGGAAGAAATTTATTAAAATTAAAAGCAATTGGTTTAAAAATTCCAATTGACACAGAAAATATTTTAAAATTAATCGGAATAAATGATTTACCTCTTTACACTTTAGGGCAAATAAAATTAAATTTTTTTGGTCATTAAACAATATTTAATATTATCCCAGATGCAGTCCCAGTAGACGAAGACGGTGTTTTAGGGATAGAATTTTTTCGAGACAATAACGTAAATATTA